AGAGTAAAAACTGTAATAACGACGTAAGAGAAACAAAAGAATTTCAGAAAAAGACATTCTGCAGACAGTTCTGAGTTAACTGGCGCTCAATAACCCACATAATTCGGAATAATTCGCATAAACTCTTCTTATTGCATTTTACGAGAGTGTAAAAATGGCGGAGGATGTAATTTTTCCAGGGATTGAAACTATGTATCATTAACTCTTGTATATTATACTTACTCTGGCGAATCTACAATGCATATTGAGGATTGCTTCAAATGTAATCGACATCACATGTTAGAAGAATATAATCAGCAAAAATTCGTGTTAAATACCATTTGAATGATTACTTTCGATGCATATCATTTTGTTTGAAGTGAAGCTACTGTACAGTAAATTACTGGTACAACATGATACAAGAAAATTTTCTGAAGGGCAAAAAGTTAAGTTGCAATTGTAATCGCGGGAAATAGTAATTTGAAATATTACGGAGTCTTCTAAAATCTTATTTGCCTTCAAGTTTGAAAATTTCGTTTCATCATTCGTAGAATTTTCTGATGCAAACGATTAAAGGAAAGTAGTCTAAAATCAGGTACTATTATTTTTATATAATAAAAGCTTCGATGTAATCGAATTGTGGCATAATATTCGCATGGATTCCACGACCTTATTTTACAAATTTCAGAAACAATCATCAACATCGTAATGTTCCGTACAGATAGAATTAAAAATTTCGGCTTGAAAAGTTTCAATTTTTTGTAATTTTAGTGATTATTTTTTATTGTTCTTACATTCAAAAATCCATCCACATAAGTAATATTTGTAATATTTTATAGTCCTTACAGAATATTTTGACATTCTTTTCACCGTTCTATTTCACACTGAAGTGTAAATATTTAATGTTTATTAAATAAATGCATTTGGGACAACACCGATTATTTCGCTCTACAGCAGAACCAGGTACCCTGTTTTACCGTGTACTATCTGTGTATAGCGTACGTATTCTTTCGTTTTTATGTTTCTGATCATTTAATATAAATTGCTACTATTTTGTGCGCATCATTGGACAATTCCGTTAAGCCTATAAAGTTATTGCGAAAATTATGGCACCGTTAAATTCTTATTACGAACAGAAGGCTAGAAGGTGGTTGATTTCTAATTTCGAGAGAAGCATCACAATTTATGAGATAGCCATGTTACAAATCTGTGTTTTTTAGAGCAGCAACAATAGAAACTGTTGTTGGAACTGGAATATTTCCTTTTAATCCTAATCATCTATATACCCCCATCGGAAACAACAAATAGAAACTATCACGACACAGCAACAAGTGAAGATACCAGAAGAGCAGCATTCGCGGAAGTTTTACCGTCAACATCAACAGAAATGGAGAGTTTCCTATCGACATCAAAAGATGCAGAAGCTATGGTGTTCACATCGATAGATGTAGAACCAATACCATCATAAGATATTGATTATAAATCAACATTTACATTTTCCGCCCAAACAACTAAACCTATGCCCTAAGCAGAACGAACAAGAAGCAATAGAAAAAAAGAAAAGCGACCATAATAGCATGTGAATAATATAGAACTCAGTTAGGAGACAATATTAAAACGAATTATTAAAAGAAGAAAAAAATTCTGTAAGAAACAAATATCAAAAATTAAGTGAATTAATTATAAGCGATGCTTGTACTTTTTGATAACAACTTTTTATACATTGCAAATTCAAAGAAAAATGGATTCAATGCATTATGTGTTATGGATAGGCACAAGTGACATGTACAAGTGCTAGAGAGGGTGACGAATATTTTATTTGTAACTTTTGTTTTGTTAATTGAGATATATATTGTCAGAGTTTATTTAATTATTTAATAAGGACACGCGATTCTGGATTGGAAATATATATGTATATATATATATATATATATATATACATACACGTTCTGAACAACGTCTAAAAAAAATTTCAGTTCCTTAGTTTACGATAAAAGATAATCGCACACTCACATATTTATTATTTATTTATTTATTTCTTTATTATTCATGATACAAATTTATATGTGTTAAAATAAGTTCAAATTTTTTATAAATACAGTAAAAGTTCCTAAACTAATAATTAACATAATTTTTTATAAGACCAAATAGAATACCTTTATAATACTTTAAAATTGAATACCTTTAAAATTGTTAAAAGTAATTGTTTTTATTATTGTTTAACTAATAAAAGAATTTTTGTCTGTATTGCATTTTATTTCTTTCAATATGTATCCAGTTTTTCCCATCTCTATGGGGCAAAATCAGGCTTTTGCATATCTTCAAAAAATTTTATTTTCCCGTGAACTAAACAGTTGTTTCCAAAAAGTTTGGTCAAATTCTATAAAGTCTAATTAAGAGATTTAGCCATGCGAATTTTTTTTACTGATTTTTTGTTATGGAGCTATGTTGGGCACTCCACTTTCCTCTATTTTCCCG